ATACATATATACACATACATACATACATACATACATATATATATAAAAAAAATGTAATTTTAATTTATAATTTTTTTATTTTATTTTAAAATGCAGTAACATTTCTCAATTGTACTGTTTTGCTATATTTTTAAATATACGCAGCCTTGGTGACCATAAGACTTTTTGAAAAACATTTAAAAAATCTTACTGACCCCAAAAAATAATTCGTGTATACACTATACTGTTAAAAAAATATGTATCCATCTGAAAAAAAACAAATTAAAATGTATTTTTATATATAATTATTATTATTTAATATTATTTTTTTCTGGATTTTCTGATATTGATGGACCATGCTAAAAAAAATTTTTGTTTTTAATTAGCAATTGCATAGCAACACCTTGGCAACCATCCACAACACGCTAACATTGTGGCAGTGAGTTTTGCATGCATAAGCCACATTCATATTTTCTTCATAAAAATCTATTGCTCATGTAGCCTGCAATCAGCAGCATCAGTATAATTGTACTGGGTGGTTATTCATTTTGACCCAAGTCAGTAAAAACGTTGCCACTGGCCATGCACAGTGGACAGCCACTGATGAGAACACCAGAGCTTCAGTGATGGAAATTACTGGTCTGCTATAACTTTCACTGCAGCCGCATCAGCAGAAACATTCTCAGACGTGGTAGATGTTCATCTCTCGGCCGTTTTTAGTTTTCGGTCTTGACGTCGCTGTCATCCACTGAACTGCCTTTAGCTGACACTGACTAGTCTGAACAGGAATTATTGAGACATGGAAGCTTCAGTGACACTGGGGTCATGAAACGAAAGATCAAAAGGAAGGAAACACGTGCATTGGTCCAATATTATTAGTAACTTCTGTGTCATACTGATTTTTAAAGTCTAAAAATACTCTATCCATACAAAGCATTAATTTTATTTTTACAAAAAACAAAGCACATGTAGGTAATACGTGATGACCAACAGTACAAGGGACCTTCCATCCAGCACTGAACCACTTTGACTAAATGCCAGATGTGGTGTGATCTACATTAGTGAGAACAGGAGGAGATTTTAGACACAGCATCTGACCAGCCGACTATAAACACATTTTGGAAGCAGAGGTAACGTGAGAGAGCACAGCATGTGCGGATCGCTGGCGGCATGATTAGTGTTCATCTATAAACCAACTATGCACGTGTATTTATACAGAGGCAAAGTGCAACTGAAAATAGGCTTGAATACACATAGTGGAAGTTGCTAGCTAGATAAGAAGCAAAATATGACAGGGTGTATGTGTATTTGCATAGTAGGTTTGAAAGCTGAGATCAGGTTATATAATGAAGGTTAAATTAGTCTAGATGTCCCAAGGGTTAACTGAAGTTACACCAACACTGACCCCTGATATCAATACATATACATGCTTTCTATGCTTTTGAACACAGCCCGTTCTCACTGCTAAGACATACTGCTATCTGACACTGGAAACACTGACTATTTTTACTCAAACGTAAGAGAGAGAGACCGAGAAAGAAGATATTTTTAAAATAGAATATAGTAATGCATTCACTAAAATGTACTAAAATTGTACAAAAAAAACATGAAAACAAATGATTTTTCTATTACTGTAGCTTTGTTTTTTGTAAGTGTAAGGAAGCAATTAACTAAAAGTAGCAATGCTAAATTAGGTTAATTTTTAGACAGTAGCTCAGCTCTTTTCAAAACAATGTAGCTTCTTCAGTAACAAGCTACTTTTTCCAACAAGCAGCAGTGTAATGTTACAAAATGCTTTTTGCATAAACAGGCTTATACAGTAGCTGAGACAACTGAGGTACTAAACAAACATGTTTGTCTAAACATCAGTATTGTGAAGTTTGATTCAATTTAGTAAATCTGTTTGAGTCATTTATATGCACTGGTTTAATAAAACAATTCACTGATTCTTCTCAGTACTGATACATCTGATACTACACTATTGTTCATAAGTGTGGGGTCAGTAATATATATATATATATATATAATTTGTTTTTTTAAATTAGTATTTTTATTTAGCAAAGACCATTAAATTGATCAGAAGTGACAGTAAAGACATTTATAATATTGAAAAATATCTCTATTTCAAATTTATGCTTTTATTATCATAGTTTTCACACAAATATTAAGCAATGTTTTCAATGTTCAAATAAACTGAAATGTTTGTTGAGGATCAAATCAGAATAGAATGATTTCTAGAATGATTCTAACAGAGCAAACAAACAAACAAATAAAAAAAAATAAAAAAAATAAAAAATCTAAATGGTACCAAATGTATAGCTTATAATGGTACGATAATAGTTTCAAAAGTTTCCTAAATACTGTCAACCTTTGACCATATTACGGCTGCCAAACAATTTTTAGGTGAAAAATGCTAAATAATAATATCAAACAACAATAACAACTCTATTCTTAATCTGTATGCTTTACCAATGCCTTAACAAATAAACAATGATTAAGGCATGCTTAACTGGCTTAATTAAACCTGGCCTTGTTCCTACAGAATATCACTACAACTAAATTATGAATGGAATACTAATTTTCCATTCAACTGGGTTTATTGATTGTGTTAAGCACAAATTGTTTTTCTCACTTTGCCAGCATTCTGGAATTCCCCGGCATATGTTTTTCATTTTAAAAGTGAAAGTGTTGCTAGGCAACTGCTCCAATCTCTCCCATCTTTTTCCATTGGGCAGTTTTTGTAATTAGGATAAGAGGGTATAAATCTAGAATTCTATTTTTAAATGTTGTGAATTTAAATCGTTTAAACGTGCTCAGCACAGCAAAAACACACTGGCCTCTGTGAACTTTACAACTCATCGAACAATCAGCACGTACTCAGTGAAGCACAGCTCAGATACTGGCCCAGATTACATGCCTGTCCCGGAGCTCAGCAGTTCCACTCGGCGCAAACTCTGAATGGCATGTCATCTGAACTGTGTAGAAAGTTACTTCAAGAGACATCCGGCAAACCAGCTTCAGGCAGTTTGATGACTGCTTGGTTTAGAATGTAAAGGGACATTATAAATTTGTAAAATCTGATATTTCATGTGAACTTACCTAGTAGCTGTACTCCACGTGTCAGCCCATATATGTCAATGATCGCCCAAACCGGCTCTCCGGCTGGTACACCGCCGAAGAAGAAGATCGGAGGGCCGCTGTTTACCCGGTAAAACACTCGTCCTGTGTTATCCAACCAGAAGGACAAAATGGTTCCTTCTTCACATTGTTCCTCAGGAAACGCTCGGGCCCAAAATCCCCTTTCGCTAACTAAATCTGGGCAGGCGAACCGTGGCAGCCATGCTGAACTTAAATCTGATGGATCCACCGAACTGAAACCCACTCGGAGGGCACCACTCCAACATCCCTGTTTCTTTGTGATCTAAAAGAAGCGACCAAAAGTGAGAGGAACCAAGAGAGTTAGCTAAAATTACATATATTTGTAGAAAAAATTATAAAAGTTATTGTGTAACAAGTGTGATGCGATAAATTGAGACCAGCAGACGCATTTATCAGACACAGATTCTTGTTTTTCATTCCCAAACAACCTCATTCACCAGAACTAGATAACAGCACAACCTCACATGTTAGCATTTCTAGCATTCTCTTTCTGTTTTCCCTTCCTCTGGAAAGTTTGAGATGGAGTGATATAAAAGAAGGATATGTTAGGGCTATTTTGGGACCACACAAAGTGGCATGTGGAAATGGGTAAGCGTTGGGTTACCATACCTTGAGCCGGACCTGTTCATAGATTCTGACTGGCCGGTTGGTGAAGGTGATGGCATTGCAAAAGCTGGCAATTCAGCGCACGCTGCGCTGCATCTTGTCCATCACGATTTGAGAGCCTTTCGTGTTGGCATGGAAATAGAGCGGCGGGGGGGCTGGCAACTGTTGGCACATGCTCACCTTTAAGGGGTGGCGGCGAAGGGTTCCTCCATCTGAGAGATGGACAAAAAAAGGAAAAGGTAAATTCTGTCTAGCACTGTTATTCTCTCTAAGAGCTTTGTGCTGTTTTTATGGAACAGAGGGAGGACAGTCGCTAGCATCTCTGAATGAAAACCTTTATCAAGAACAGAGAGACAACAAAAGGGACACAGAGATAGAGAACGAGAGAGACAGAATGCAGGTTTCTGCTTCTTAGGCTGCCAAAAATGAGGTTATGTCTCCAAACACTCACACAATGGAAAGTCAACATCTCTACTCAACATCAGACTACTTGATTCATTGATCATGTGTTTTTATGCCAAACTTTGATTTACTGAACACTGTTGTTTTATTTACATATTTTACCAGGGTAAAGTTATCTAGCTGGCTAACCAATGTTCTGTCACAGTTTGAGAATGATTTGCAATAGTTTTGAAAGCATTACAGTTTGTGTTCAAAATTAATCACATCTCTTCAGTATACTATGTACAGTATCATTTTCAGCCTAATGTAGCATGCATATATATATATATATATACACACACACATATATATACACACACACATACATATATACACACACACACACATATATACACACACACACACATATATACACACACACACACATATATACACACACACACACATATATACACACACACACACATATATACACACACACACACATATATACACACACACACACACATATATACACACACACACA